AGCCGGCTGAGTACCGTTAGGGTCGTGGGCGAAGGAGTCGTCCCCAGTCGGTGATGTATTTAACCAAGTAAGGTTATATCTAAATCTATATACTTCTGGAAGCGAAGACTCGCTCGGGGTCCGGGTGGCGTAACTGGCAAGCGCACCGCACGGCAAGCGGAGGTTGCGGGTTCAAGCCCCGTCCCGGGTCAGTTCTTTTATTCCAGAATGTTCTAAATTTATTTATTTAATTATTAATTTAATTAAGAGATGGCGCCTAACGCCTACCTCTAATTGTCAAATTACTTAGTTCCAATCATTTAAAATAGCCATATTATAGCCCGATAATTAGGCGATCGTTTGGTGTTGTTATTATCTACTCGGGCTGTGAGTTGATGTTTATATATATTAACTTAGAATTTCAGTGAATGACGATGGTATTCATTTGCTGGTAGCTGGTTATTTACTAGGCAAGTCACCGAAATTCTCGACAGTGCCGTTTACTCTGTTTCCCTTTTTATGGAACTTTTTATCAATAGAGAAAGGCCATTCTTAAGAGAATTTATCAAAATTGCAATGCAGTAGTACCTTCAGAAATCAGTATACATCAAAATACAGTAAAATTCAGTACTTCATTACAGCAATAGCATAAAGAAAAAATGCAGTAACTGTACTCCGTGAAAACGAATTTAGCATTCTGACAGTTAAAAGAGCGATAGATAATTGACTTTTTACTGTATTTACACTTATTTACATTATACGACACTAATTTCAACATATATTTGCCAATTAAACTCATTAACTTCTTATCTTTTTAAATAAATAAATTCAAGTTTACAAACAACAATAATTTAACCTTGGTATGGTGCCAAAAACAATTCTATTAATTAGAATGAACTTCAATATTGTCTCATTTTAATTAATTCTCTCTGCAGCTTACGTTATTAATATACATTTCTGTTACTGCTTGTTACGGAAGCTAAATCCCGTTAATCTTAATAACATCTTCTCACTTCCTCAATCTTCCATTTTAGTTTATACAGATGACATTAAGTTATTGAATAACTGTCCTAAAACTACAAAAAAATGATATAAATACTCTTAATACTATTCACAGCATCCTAAATTCAAACTTTCTAAAACAATTAAGCCTCATCCCATAATCAGTAAGTCTCACTGTAACGCTCGTAATGACACTTATTTATTCGGTACATTCTAGTCAGTTGCTGTTAATAACAAAGTTCAAGATATCTGACAACATTTTCAAGGTATCTCAAATTCTGTATCAACAGAACAATAGTGTAATAGTTTGACATTGATTATAACGACAAGAATTATTAATTCCATTTAATGAGCCTCATCATACACTTGTTTTGGAGACATCATACCATACAGACATATGCAATGACTCCTCGAAAATAAAGAAAATAACAATGTGTCACGCAACAAAACAAGCATTAATATTCAACAGAACTTCTAAAAATAACTTATTTAATTGATTATCATCATCTCTTATTTATAAATATATATTAAAATATATATATATTACTTAGTGCTTAGTAAGAATTTGTTTCACATACAGTTCTTTTAAAGATCAAAACAAAAGCTTTCACTTAAGCTTTCCAGATTGTCTTCAAGGAAGAAAGTGAGTTAGAAAACCTGAAAATATTAGGATTTAGGAGGAATTTTACATTTTGATTTAGTCAAACACAAGTATAAATGAATTATTTTAATGAATTCATCATTTTCCTGTTTAACTGTCTTTAGATGTATGTACTAAACAAGCTAATCCGAGGACAGGACAGAGTATCTGTCGAGACTAACTGGTTATAAACCGAACCTTCTCGGATACCTAGTACCAAGTTATGTGAATAGCAGGGTGAATGAGTTGATAGTGTACAAATTCATTCAGGAAGTGCACTGTGTGATGCTTTCTCTACACGCTTATGCTGCTACTCATATAACTCAAAACTAGGTTTTGAGTTATATGACCAAATCTATCATCTATGATAGTAATCCGGTAGACATCCAGGGCTCAGC